TGTTCAACGGTAAAACTTGTAACTTGAATTTGGTCACAAAACTAATCATTCAGGTTGAACAATATGATATAAAGTCATGATAGTCATGATTTGGAGTCAAGGGATAATCAATTGTAGTCAAAGGAAATCTGGTCTAGGTTGAAGCCTTTGTTAGGTGTAACCAGATTTGCCATCATTACTGAATTTGGTTAACTAAGAACTGCTCAAACTTGTTTATCAATTGTTTCCATGTTTCCCTTCTTTTACCTGTTATTCTGTTAATTCATGCAATCATGGTTACGCACTGTTTACTAATGTTGTTAGGTAAACCATGAAAAAAAATGTAACAATAGATGACAATTCAAATACAATGGAATGAGTTTTCAAATTAGTGAGAATGAAATTGAGCAACTATAATGTCAAAAAGTACCGAAGTTATAGATGAAAGTATAATGAAAAAAGGATGCAGACATGATTTAGTTGATTTTTAAAGTGAAAATTTCATTTTTCAGATTAAATTTTACATGAAAAGGGACAAAAATTGTTTTCAAACAAATTCATTGGTAAAAGACGAGATAGACATCAAAAAAGGATGAAAACTGTCGGCTTGATAATAACAAACGATTCACCTTAAACTTGATGCATTAACTTTTTAAACCTTCATCAACCATTTGAAATGACGATAAAAATGATCAAATTATTAAAGGTAAAATGATAAACAGAAAGGAATCGAAAGAAAATGAACACTTTTTTGCCATTTACTTTCAATCAAAATAATGATCGTCATCATACCATGATAGCCAATCAATCTAATGTAAAGTGCACCAGTTTCACCTAATTTCAAGTCGATGGTTGGCTGGTTGACTGGTAAAGCAAAGCACGCAACTTAGCGCGAAAAATGAGTTAAAAAGAAAGTGCAAGAAAGGTAAAATCGATAAGCATGATGAGAATGAAAGCGAAGAAGAAGAAAAGAAACTGAAAAAGTGAATTACGATTAAAACGAATGTAAAAAGTGGTGAAAAAGCGAATAGTGAAGATGGCCAAAAAATGGAGTGACATTCAAGATGAACAATCAGGCAAGTTTCTTATAATTATCACCTTAAATAGCGCACACCTCCTCCTCCCTCTTGAAACAGTTTTACCAGTTTTCGCTCTCATTTCAACAAGATCAAGAACAAGATGAAAAGACAAAAGACAAAAAAGGAAAACAAAAGAGAAACAGAAAACAAACAGACACAATATCATCAAAAATATGTGCTTGCATGATGTTTCAGATAATGAAATAATAATACTGATAAATGATAACAAGTTGAAGGGCAGTCAGTCAGTAATTGACGTTTTAATCATTGGTAAACATTCTTAAAGCAAACTAGTCCAACAGTTTCAATGATAATCGACAAGTGGACATTGATATTGACCAAACTTGGACTTTAAAGTTGGACCAAGTTGACATTTAAAAGGATTGTCAAAGTTATTCAAAGGAAATTGAAAATATTCATTTCATGAACATAAAGAGGTGAAACAGGTTAACAAGTAAAAACAAGTTGAATGTAATCATCTAAATGATATTTTGTCGCTTGAAAAGGAAGACAAAAATTTTTCACTTTTTTTCTCTTTTACCTCGAAATTGTATAAAGAGAAATTGAAAAATTTTAGATTCATGAAACGATGGAAACCATTGAGTTTTCCATCGTTCCATTGAGTTTTGTGTGATTACTTGAAGACCAACTATTAATAGCTCAAATGGATGAAAAAATAAGGTTACAGTTTTTCAACATTTAAACAGCAAAAAAAGGCAAATCAAGTTGTGACAATCACAGCAATCAATTGAGCTAAACAGTAATTCATGAGATTACAAAAATGAACAAACTATTGATCGTTCAGAAAATGAGATAATCTTGAAAAATTGATGGAAACTTTTCAACTGAGAAATGGATGTAATTGATGAGATGGAAAAAAAGATGAACATTGAAGTTTCTTGACCAAATGGCGATTGAAATAGGTTCAGATGTAGTTGGAAAAACAGGGGAAAGTTTATCACCATGAATAGATGATGATAGATTATTCAATTGTTTCTCTTTCTTTTCTTTCTTTTTTTCCATTGATTGACCTTGAAAAATACCAAGTCAATCAACTTGATTCATTCTGTGTTTTTTTTCTTCTTCTCTTCATCTTTACTCTTTCTCTCTGGTAACAATGGACAACCGACTCACAATGTTGAGGTTGTTGACATGATTTTTGCTGTTGTTATGTAAAGGTAAAAAACTAAGGTAGAGAAAGTTGGAGAAAAGGTAAGAGAAAGAAAAGAGGAAAATAGCAACGTGGCTCAAATAACCACACATAGATGATGATCATGATGTGATGAGAAAAGGAGAAAGTTACGAATCAAGTTGAATAATGGAAAGTGAATGACAATGGAACTTTTTGCTTTCTCTTTTTTTCATATTTGCTTTGTTGGCTTTGGTAATAAAAATATTCAATTATAATTTATTCCCTCATTTGTTTCAGACTTTTCAAGAAACGCATTTCGAGGCTTCTTTTTTCTTCTCATATCAGATTATCAATTGCACACTCATGATGACCTGACCGTGAAAAGTAACTTTAATGTTGCTCTTCTTTTCGCCTCTTTTAGGCCTGTTCAATGAGAACGTCGATTTCAACGTTTTTCATGAAAAGAGTCGTGTTTTTAAAGTAAAAAAGTGAGTTGAGTAGGTGAATGAGTGAGAGATGAACAAGTTTCATAACTTGATTTCATTTTTTGTGTTTTCGGTAAAAGGCTTTTTTGGGTAACAAGCGCAAGATGCTCCAGTTAAGTCATCCTTCTCTGTCTGTCTCATCATTAGTCTTTCGTTGCTTTTTGCGTGTCTTTCTGTTTTTCCTCTCTTTCGCCCTTTTCTCTCGCTATCCTTCCTTTCAGTCTCATTACTCTCATCATCATTACACTCAACATTATCTCTTTTGATTCTTCTTTTTCTCTCTTCTTCTTCTTCTTCGCCAATGATTGCGCGCTAATTTAAGTCATGATTCAGTAGGAATGAGAACACAATGAAAAACAAAACAAGAGGATGAGAGAGTGAACGATAAGATGAAAATGATTTGGTGTGTTGGAGTTGAGAATGAAATTGAACTAATAAGAGTTTTTTCATCATTCAATGAAAATTGAAACTTTTGCAATCATTTTCGATGTTGATCAACAAATTCAAAGTCTAGAGTCTGGAGTTGGTTGTTTAAAGGCTGAATCAGATTGAACACAATGAATGGGTTAACAATTAAACAACAAGTTTGCAAGAATAGGAAAACAAAAAGGAAAAAAAAGAAAACTCTTCTTCTTTTTGTGTTCAATCTAAATGTGTAGGTTGCTCTAGATTGATATTTTTACACCACATGATATGATTTATAATGGAAAGAGGTATAAAAATAATAAATATATTTATACATTTGAAATCAATTTAAAACCTTTCAACTGAACTTTGGTTTTCTGTGTGTGTGTTGCCTTATTCATGAATGCAAGTTTACCTGAAGAGTGGGAGATCGAAGAGCTTTCATTTATATCGAGATCCCAAAAGTCAAGATCAACTTCACCAATTTCAGATGAATTGAGACTGGGCACAGGTGAGATACCAGTTCCAGTTTGACTGGAACTGACTTCCGGAGAGCTTTCAATAGTTCCAATTGAACCGGGTGCAACTTGAAGTGCTGAACGTTTACGAACAATTGATCGTTCAGAAAATGAGATAATCTTGAAAAATTGATGGAAACTTTTCAACTGAGAAATGGATGTAATTGATGAGATGGAAAAAAAGATGAACATTGAAGTTTCTTGACCAAATGGCGATTGAAATAGGTTCAGATGTAGTTGGAAAAACAGGGGAAAGTTTATCACCATGAATAGATGATGATAGATTATTCAATTGTTTCTCTTTCTTTTCTTTCTTTTTTTCCATTGATTGACCTTGAAAAATACCAAGTCAATCAACTTGATTCATTCTGTGTTTTTTTTCTTCTTCTCTTCATCTTTACTCTTTCTCTCTGGTAACAATGGACAACCGACTCACAATGTTGAGGTTGTTGACATGATTTTTGCTGTTGTTATGTAAAGGTAAAAAACTAAGGTAGAGAAAGTTGGAGAAAAGGTAAGAGAAAGAAAAGAGGAAAATAGCAACGTGGCTCAAATAACCACACATAGATGATGATCATGATGTGATGAGAAAAGGAGAAAGTTACGAATCAAGTTGAATAATGGAAAGTGAATGACAATGGAACTTTTTGCTTTCTCTTTTTTTCATATTTGCTTTGTTGGCTTTGGTAATAAAAATATTCAATTATAATTTATTCCCTCATTTGTTTCAGACTTTTCAAGAAACGCATTTCGAGGCTTCTTTTTTCTTCTCATATCAGATTATCAATTGCACACTCATGATGACCTGACCGTGAAAAGTAACTTTAATGTTGCTCTTCTTTTCGCCTCTTTTAGGCCTGTTCAATGAGAACGTCGATTTCAACGTTTTTCATGAAAAGAGTCGTGTTTTTAAAGTAGGAATGAGAACACAATGAAAAACAAAACAAGAGGATGAGAGAGTGAACGATAAGATGAAAATGATTTGGTGTGTTGGAGTTGAGAATGAAATTGAACTAATAAGAGTTTTTTCATCATTCAATGAAAATTGAAACTTTTGCAATCATTTTCGATGTTGATCAACAAATTCAAAGTCTAGAGTCTGGAGTTGGTTGTTTAAAGGCTGAATCAGATTGAACACAATGAATGGGTTAACAATTAAACAACAAGTTTGCAAGAATAGGAAAACAAAAAGGAAAAAAAAGAAAACTCTTCTTCTTTTTGTGTTCAATCTAAATGTGTAGGTTGCTCTAGATTGATATTTTTACACCACATGATATGATTTATAATGGAAAGAGGTATAAAAATAATAAATATATTTATACATTTGAAATCAATTTAAAACCTTTCAACTGAACTTTGGTTTTCTGTGTGTGTGTTGCCTTATTCATGAATGCAAGTTTACCTGAAGAGTGGGAGATCGAAGAGCTTTCATTTATATCGAGATCCCAAAAGTCAAGATCAACTTCACCAATTTCAGATGAATTGAGACTGGGCACAGGTGAGATACCAGTTCCAGTTTGACTGGAACTGACTTCCGGAGAGCTTTCAATAGTTCCAATTGAACCGGGTGCAACTTGAAGTGCTGAACGTTTACGAACAATGGGTTGCAATGAACACGATGTACTGTTGTTGTTGATAATCATTGTAGTGTTGTTGTTGTTGTTGTTGTTGATTATGTGAGTAGTGTGGTTAAGATTGTTATTGTTATTGTTGTTGTTGTTGTTTAAATGAATTAAAGGTGAATGACGGTTGGTTGATGAAGATTCAGCTTCCCTTTTTATCCTTGGTATATTACATGGACCTAATTTACTTAAAGAATCATCGGTCATAAAATCATCTGGAAAAGTTGGACGAACTTTTTTCAACCCATTTCCAAGATCGCTAGAGTTGGGCGATAAATTGTTGGACGATAAGGAGCCATCAAGAAACTCCTCGACTACCCGATCAGCCCGGGACTGGCTTAACCACAGAAACACTAACGGATCCAGTTTTGACTTGTTCAATCAGTCTTGCAATCAATGTGATATTTCCGAGTCTTTTTTATCCAAAATCAAACTAAAAATGGTTGACTTTGAGTTTTTCAGTTGACAACTCTTTGATATTTTGTCAATGATTTCCGTTGATTGCGATGTATAAATATAAATATACTTTGCAAGGCCACGGAGTAATTGAACAGCACAATAATCAGTTGAAGCAAACAATTGAATGATTATTTGCTGAAGGTGGTTTCGGTGAGAATGGATGAAGTTAACAGTTGAAAATAGACGAAACTTGACGATGTAAACTTAAACCTCGACACACAGCAAAAGTAAATGTTTATACTTTGTCAATTTATGTTCATTGTAATAATAATATTTATATTAACATTGATAATAAAACATTGAATATAAATATAAGTGAAATATATATATTTTGGGTATAAATATAAGTGTTAATTGTTTGATTGCCTTAGCAAAGATGAGATGACAAGGGTTGAATGTGAAACAAAAATAAAATATCAATTGGACAATGCAATTTAAAGTGCATTAAAAGATGGTCAAGCAATAAGGTTTAAAACAGTTAAATATTTTAACATCAACTTCGAGAGCAAGTGATGTTGATGGTTGTTAGTGTGATTCTGGTGAGATGATGTCAGTGGCGTTGATGGTAGTGTGTATTGGGTATGAATAAAGTGATGATGAAAATGGGAAAAATAATGATGATGATGATGTGGACACAGAGAAAGGGCAAGAGACACTCACGGAGAAAGTAAGTAACATTAGCGAAAAAAAAGCTCAAACAAAAAGACTGTTTCTCCAGGTTTCTAGGTTTAGTCTCATATCACTCATATCACTCAGCACAGAGTACAACAACATCTCTCATCTTCACATTTCACTTTACTATTTGCTTCTCTCTCTCTCTCTCTCTTCCTTCCCTTTGCTTGCCCCTTTGCCACTCACAAACAGCATTCTTGCTACTCACACTGGCTAAACTCACTGATTCACTCTCTTTCTACCAACCAAAATCATCTCTTTCTTTTGGGTTTACAGACTCACTCCAGGCTTATCTGCAATGCAACAGCCTCTTTCTGTCTCTCTCTCTCCCTGATTTGCCTCTTTTCCCCTCTTACCTCATGGTCTTGCTTCTGCTCTATTCATCATCATCATCATCATCATCATCTTCATCATCGTCATCGTCTTATAATTCTTGTTTCTCTCTTCTTCTTCTTCTTTTTCGTTTTCTTCATCATTTTCAGCAAATGCTAAAAATGGTGAAACTCTGAATAAGATGATGGAATAGAAGATTGGTTTGTTTCTATGTAAAAACTGATGGACTTGAAATCGTTTGATGAGCTTTTAATTGGTCTCATGTTTTTCATTTCAATGAATATCATTGATGGTCAATGTTCTAAAACACTTTAGATTTCATTTTATTATCATGGGTCGTTGGTCATTACCTTTTTTATTGTAATTATTAGCCATTCATTGTGATGCAAATGAAAAGAGAGTGATAAAAAGAATGGTAAACATTCAATTCTGAGCCTCTTTCAAATGAATTTCAACATTGGCCATTTAATGATATATTTTCATCATTAAACCATTATTGACAATTTTTTTCAACTTTTAAAGTTAGCCTTTTACCGTATCATTTCATCACTAGGCAAACACAGATACTAAAAGGATGATAAAAACGTTGATATTAACCTTTAAACCTATTTAAATCAATTGACAATTTAATCAATGATAACTTGCAAAATTGGAATCGCAAAAATGCTATTAATAATCTCTCTAGAGAGAGATTGGAAGAGGGCGAAAAAAATGAGCAGAGGAAGGGAAAAGAAGAGATCATCATGATCATCATTATCATCTTGATGATAAACCTTATCCAATCTTGAAAGCATTTAACATATAAATGCATCTATCGATTAATTTGAATGAACCCAAAAATGAGGATAATGAAGATGAAAGATGTAAAAGTCCAAAACTGATTGATCATTTTTACACAAAAATCGCAGCCTCAAAAGATTGCAAGTTTATAATGAAAAGCCAAAAATAAAATCATGTACAAGATCAACAAACCTGAACCAGAATCTCGTAACTAGCAAAGAGGCGATTCTGTGATGAGCTAAGAGCATTTGCTGAACATTGAGAAAAAATAAAATAAACATTTTTCGGCCAAACTTTGCTTGTCCAATAAGCATCTGAATATTGCATGAGATTCAAGTTGGAAACAGTAAAAGGCATAAAAAGCAATTCTCTGTGAACAGCTAATTGAAAATGAAATATTCAATTTTGCCTGCAATTGTACAAAAGTAACTTTATCATGAGTTTTATTACTAACATCAATAACTATTACAATTAGTTATTATTGTACAAGGTTGCGCACGCGTCTATGCCTTACGTCTACTCGATAAATATAACGTCCAAGGCCAATTGAATACAACGAACTCAAACATGAGTTTAAGTTGGCATTGGTTTGCTTTATCTGTTCATCATTAATGATCAAACAACATCATGCTCATCCTCATGTTGATGAGGTTGATAAACACTTTTGAACCGAGAACAAAAAAGTTATCTCGATTGATGTACAGAGTAGCACAAAAAGAGACAATCAATTGCTCAATTTGTAAACCATTTAATTTTAATCAGAACTAAATTAAAAATGGAAAATTGATTGAAGTGAACAATTAGAAACAGTGTTTACAAATGAGTAACTCAAACCTGCAAATGCTGATGAAATTAACAAAGAGAATTGAAATTTTCTCTTGAAATATAATATTGTTTAACCAGTGTTTTTACTTGAGCTATTTTTGGTGGTTCAACTTTTGGATTTGGTTCATGTTTTGGTTCCCATTGAAATTTTAAACCCTTTTACTGTTTTTTTTGTGTTTCCATTTTGTTTTGCTTTTTGCAACTAAACCAAAACAAGATTAATCTTTGAGAACATTTGAATTTTCACTTTTCCAAAACAACCAATTATCAAGAGTTTTGTTATTTAACCCTTTGCTTCCAATGATAACAATTTTGATAAGTTTCAGTTGAAATTAAATGGTGAAAATTGTGACTGATTAATAGATCAGAGTCATCATGATTTGTTACAGATTGTTCAGCATAAAACTAACAAGAAAGGTTTACTCATTATGAGCTCTATTATAGCTGTAAGAATGAGCAAGATGATGAAAAATTGATATCAATGTGGTTGATCTCAATGAGTTGTTGCCCTTTTCAACTGTATTATAACCAGTTAGTTACGAGTTAATATCTATTAATCAACAGACAAATCAAATGGAATTGGATTGAAAATAAAGAGTAAATTGTGATAAAGTTAATGATGATTAGGTATGAATTGACAGAATCCATCAAGTAGATGAAATTTGTATGCAATCTCAATTGCTATATCAATCAATGCAATCAAATGGCTTGAAATCAAAAGTCAAAATCCATGGTTTTATAACCCAGGTAACACAAAATTAAATGGTTTTTCAGACGAAACATTGTTAAAATACAAAATCAATGAACAAAAAGGAAAGAATCAAAATTAATCTTAAAATCTTTTTGCTTCTTATTTATGGTATCAAAATGTTTCTTTTTTTGTTGAAAGTCAATCAAAAATAATTGCAATGGGAAAAGTCAGAGAAAGGGTTTATCTCAAAGTTAATAGCAACAATCAATAAATTGTGAAACTAATCAAATGTTCAATTGTTGCTATAAAGTGAAACAAAAAGGTAAAGGTTGACATTAATGAGGATACAAGTGCATTGTAACTTGGAAACTGTAATAACAATTGTTTTTCAGTCATTTTTCTTGTTCGTTTTTTTTGCATTTCTTTGTTTTATTATTCAGTAAAGGGAAAAGGATTGAAAAGATTATGAAAATTTCATGATTTAATGATAAACTGCACTTCAGATGAGTAAATATGTGACAACAAAAAGCAACTAAAGACATTTTGATAGACAAAAGGTAAATCATAGCAACCAAAGTAATGCCATTTGTAAAATTTTCTGACTGTTTTCAAATAATTCAAGTTCATTTCAATTCTAGTTGTCTGATTCAGAAAGAGAGAGAGATTTTTAATGGGTCAAGGCGTGAAATGAACAATGCTCATGACCTGATAACCATTCAAAAGTACCTCACTGACCTGCTCCAAATGTTGCCAAATAAAGTTAAATCAATGTAAGAAAATGTCAAAAGATTTCTTTGTAAATTGAAATATCCATTGAAAGTAAAGTTCAAAGTTGATGCAACTTGTTTCATTTAAATGTTCAAGTTGATTAGTTGAATATTGGTTGGTTCACAGAAATGAAGAAAACAAAATTCATGAAACTTAATCATTCTTATAATGGATGATGATGAAAGTGAAAGTGTGAAGGCATGAGAGAGCAGAAAAGGATGTAAAAGCATCTAATGTCAATGTAACTTTGAAATGCAATAAATTGATGAATTTCAAGTTGAGATAAAAGGTGAAGTCATGGTAGGTCAATAGAGGGCCAATGGCTATCTAAATGTGAAAGCACAATGACTTGTATTCAATCCTCACTCTTTCACTCGCCCATTAATTCACTTTCCATCCTTTTTTTCATCATTCAGTTTCTTTTCTTCTCTAAGGTTTCCAGGGTAAAAACATGAACATTTTTTTTCTTTCTTCTTCTACTTATGAAAGATTCCCTATCATTTTCTCAACACGACATCACAATTAAATGATATTAGGGTTCAACGTTGAAACCCCCGAAAACTCTTGTTACATTAGAAAGCAAAAGGAGGAAAAAAAACCAGAAAAGGCAAAAGTACAAAGTAAAAGGTACCTTTAGCACACAACATGGACTGCAACTTTAATCTGTATTCATTTTCATTTTCATTTTCATGGAAACAAAAAGTCTTCTCAAACTCTTATTATCGATAACAAATGTACAAGTATTTAGCAGTGTAATGAGAGATCAGAATGGATTGAGAAACGATCATGAATCATGATACAAGTACAGAAGTATAGATCAGATTCAAGGTTTTACATTTCATTGTCAAGTTCATCTCAATGTTTCTTGTTCACTATCCATTCCTTACTCAGCAAAGGTGATAAAACCTGTTATAAGCCAAAAAACGCTTACATTTAAATATAGTGTTGGAAAACAATTTTTGCCTGTAATTAAACTCGTGCCACTGAAGACTCGTAATAACTTGAAAAGTCTGGATAAGACTCGAGGTCATGAAAATTTAGAGGAAACCAAATGTTGGGAAAAAAATTTAACATCAAATGCCAACTTTAATTTTTGATCAAAATTTTGATAATGAAAAATATCCATCGTTCAATCATTTAAGAATAAAAATCTGAAAGACAAAATCAGACAATTTCATTGAAATGGCAACTCTGTTGACTTTGTTGATCTTTCAAGTAAATGTTTGGGTTTTCCAGATTCAATCATTACAATTGAATTTGTGAAAAAAAGCAGTTCGTAAATGAAAGTCAACCCTGTACATTTGAAAAGCCAACTATGATGTGAAACATTTACAGACGGAGAACCGGTTACAGAAAGAAAGGAAAAAAAGATCTTTGCCCTTTACCTGGTTACCTGAGAGAGAATTTTTACCTTGCAAGTTCTCTTTCACTCTTTTTTCTTCTTCTTTCGTCGCAATCATCCTGCTCTCACAGATTTCCTCTCCTACTCTTTGCCATTACTTTGCATCATCCGCATGTCAACATATCAACATTTACTCAGAAACTTTCAAATCTCATCAGCTAATTGGCCTTATTCAATGAATCTCTATGATGATAATTTAACAACATCCGGTTCCATCTCATGAGATACATTTTTTTCTTCTTCTTCTTGCACTTTTAGAGCAAAAAAGAATGATTCAGAAACGAAAAGAATAAAGTTTTTAATATTGACACGCAATGGCTA